TTCTGAGAACACACTATCATTTTATGTACATACTGTGTGCTTTGTGTCAACTGCAGGTAGCATGTAATTTGTTTTGTTCTTGATTTACAATATGACAGAACTGAGTGAATTACATGATACTAGAGAAAAAATATCCTCAAGCATTCACACAGTGTGCCGCGCACACTGCTCGGATAGTTAAGTATAATGTTGGCGTCAGTTAGTTTACATTCATCGCTTCTTATTCAATGACGCCAAGGAAGTTTTCTGTAACATAACGTGTTGCCCTTAAGCCCAAATATTTGCATAATAAAAATAATTATTTTATCATGTTTTATATTTTTTCAGTACTTCAACAATATCAGACTGGGTATCTGAAATACTTCCTGCTGGACGTTTACAGGCTTTATATCAACAATAACTACTTTTGTAATTATGGTATAGTGTCTGTGATCGTTCTTATAAGAGTGGTCGTTAATAGCTATCAATTATCTGCGGTCAAGGTTTATTTATATTTAGCTGTATATCTCTAATCATTGTTCACGCTAGTAATTCTCTTATCAATTGGTCTATTAAGGTCAACGCATTGAGGTTTTATTAGTTAATTGGCTTTGGTCTGCTGTGTCGGTACTTACTTAGATCATACGCTTGATGTGTATTTTATTATGTTTGAAACATGTTATATAAATTCAGTGAAATAGAACGAAAATTTAAAAAATAAGGTAGATATAAGGTCAAAAGTGCATGTGCAGCTTCCCTACATGTAGATGGGAGTAATATCACCATTGTTTTTCCCTTTTAGTCTTTGTTAAATTTGCATTCTTTTTAAATTATGCAGAATTCATCTTTGTTTCAAATAAATAAATACTTGACATGAGTCACTTTTTATCTTCTCCAGTAATACAGTGTACATTTCACATACCATTTCATTACATATAAGATAATAACCATCACCGGAAGTAAACCAATCAGGATTTCACCCCTTTTTTTTCCTTTTTACAAGCTTTAGTACCAACGTTACCTAAAGTTTCCAAAAGATTTTATAGAAACACCAAATAAAAAAAGAATGGTGCTTTGAAACACTAACGATATATTTGTATGAAATGCAAGGTTTTCTTCCTATAACTGTTAAATTTAAGGGAATATTTTTTTCGACTCTTTGTCGTATGAAACTGGATGTGACTTACTATGATTTGGCGGTATTAAACCTGTATGATTTCAAAAGTCTTTAAAGACTTTGGTTAAACTTTAGCGACGAATTTACAAAATGCATAGGTTGGCAATAACCGTTTCTATAGGTAGGTATTTACGTAACATTATGTCATTTTATTGGAGATCTCTAGTAAATTAAAATGTTTAAAATACAAACGGATTTTTGTATCGAACAGATTTTTTGTATTGATTTATGTGTCATAAATTTTCATTGGAAGAATTCATGAGAACATAAGAGTGGATGACATTAGTGACACGAGCTTAAAAAAAAACATATTGTTTATTTGAATATTTATTTCTGATTAGATGTGATCATAATAATCATACAATATGACTGTTTCTACTAAATAAGAACATACGTTTAACTTCTCGTCCATTCAATTTACTTGAATTTGCCTTCTCAGTTTCATAGAACATACTTTTCCCGTTTACTAAGTAACTATGCAGGAATGACCATAAGGGTCAGATTTCATTTTAGCACATACTTACAACTTATCGTCCAATCAAATTGCTTATATTTGCCTTCTAATTTTCATAGTACATACTTTTCCTGTGTACTAAGTAACTACGCATGAATGACCACAAGGGTAAGATTTCATTGTATCGTAATCAAGATATTTAAAACAAAAATTGCCGCTGGCTATTTTGAAATAAAATGCTGTGTTCCAAATTAAATTAAATAGTTTGTAATTAGTTTTCACGTTGATTTTTAAATATCCTGCTATTAAAATCTTTGGATCTAAAAATGTTTTTGACAATTGCAAATTTTATCATTTAAATAAAGGGTAATACATATGGTTCTTTATACCTTGATTAGAGTACAACGATATCTTAAAATTATGATAATGTATCATCCATGCAATTACTTTGTACACAGAAAAGTGTGTACTATGAAACCTTGTGAAGGAAAATTAAAGCAACTTGGTGATAATTTTTTAAACTTTCTTAAGGAAGGTGATCTATTTCGTCATGGATTGATTGATTTATTGATTATTGGTTGCTTAATGTCCAGTGGAAAATATTTCATGCATGTTCGGGACGATGTCATGAATTGAAAAACTGTGATTATGTCTGAAGATAATGTGCCACCTATATATATATATAAACATATTCTGATAAATCTTTTAGTTTTTACTTTGAAATAATAAAAAAAAAAAAAAAACAACAAAGCCTATAATCTCTGATCTATTGGAAGTTGCTTTTTAATGCCTATCTGCTAGACTATATCTATAGGGACAAACTATCTATATGTTTCAAATTTATTAAAGCTTTAGTTTTACTGTGAAATTAAAAAAAATGTTTTCAAAACATGTAAAGCTTCCACTGCAGTTTAATTATTGCCTGCTTTTGGTCAATTCATTTTGTCATCTTACCATGTAAGAAGAACATGTATAGTAAAACACCGCTTTTTATCAGTATACATACTTACACCAGCAGCTACCATCTTTTCATTCTGGAGTGAAGGGCCTTTTGAAATCACATATTTTACAATGATACTAGTGAGTAGATTTACAAAACTTCGTTAATGAGCTCCGTTTTACAAACACCTGTGATACAAGTAGTCAGCCAAAATAAACTATCAATAGACCAATTAAAGATTACTCGAGTTGTAAATATGTGCTAAATTGGATAGTCTATGAAAAGGTATATACTATGAAATTAAGAGCTCGGGGCAAGCCCCTCGCTCTAAATTTCATAGTATATACCTTTCCATAGACTAACCTAGACGTATCATAATTAGGATATTAAACACAAAAGTGCTACTGGCTATTTTGGAATAAATTTGTGTGTCCCGAATTAAAAATGTGTTTGAATTAGTGTTCACATTGATTTTTATATATTCTGCTATTGAAATCTATGGTTTAAAAAGATATGTTTTAAAAGACAAGTTTCTCTCATTTTAATAAAGAATAAACAATATTGTTCTAAATACCTTGATAAGAGTACAACGCAATCTTAATATAATTGTTGTACAAACGAAATTCATCTATGTAGTTATTTTATACACAAAAATAGTGTGTATTATGAAACCTTAAAACAATTTAACTGTATATTGCTGATTTTTGTCAATTAAATTTGTCATCTGTCCATGTACAGAAGTTTACATCTCTTTATCTCAATAAACAGACTTACACCAGCACTTACCATCTTTTCTTTCTGCGGTCAATGGCCTTTTAATATCAACTTTTCTTGTCGGACTGACTTATAAACCGTTAAGTTCAAAATTCGTTTTTGCTGCATTTATTGATTTGTGATATGGTTTATTACTGTCACAAATTGAACAAAAACGATATATGTGATACTTGTGAGTAAATTTACAAATAAAAAAACTAAATTTTTGAACTCAGTTTTACGAACATATACAATATAAGCAGTCCGACAGAAAAAAACTATGAATAGACCAATCAAAAGATTACTTGAGTTGTAAATATGTACTCAATTGGATAGTCAATGGAAAGGTATATACTATATATCGGTTAGTCTATGAAAAGGTATGTACTATGAAATTTAGAGCAAGGAACTTGCCCGAGAATTTAATTTATTAGTATATACATTTTCGTGGACTATCAAATTAAGCACATATTTACAACTCTTTTAATTTGTCTATCGGTAGTTTATTTGGCTGACTACTTGTATCACAGGTGTTTGTAAAACGGAGTTCATTAACTAAGTTGTATGCTTTATAAATTTACTCACTAGTATTATAGCTATCATATTTGTTCAATTTATGACAGTGATTTACCAGATCATGAGTTTACGAATGCAGGAAACACGAATTTGGAAAATACCGGTTTATGAGTCAATCTCACATAATTTATGTAAATGGTAAGATGACCAAATAAATTGACAAGAAACAGTCATATATATAATTAAATTCCAGTAAGAGCTTTACAAGTATTGTAAAAAAATCAATTTCACAGTAAAACTACAGCTATAATAGATTTAAAAACATAGATATATGTGCCATACATAGTTTAGCGGTTATGCATTAAAAAGCAACAAAATAGATCAATTTGAAAGATTATATGTTGTTATTTCTTCATTTCAAAATAAAAATTATAAGCTTTATCAAAATATAGATATAAGTGGGACATTCTCTTCAGACTTATCACGGTTTTTCAATTTGTGATGAGATGGATCAAGTTCCTTAACAAAGTTAAAAAAAAATTCATCATCGAGTTGCCTTAATATTCTTTACAAGGTTTCATAGTACATACTTTTTTGTGTACAAAGTAATTGCATGGATGATGAATTACCACAATTATAAGATAGCGTTGTATTATAATCAAGGTATTACGGACCTTATTAGTTATTTTTTATTTAGTTGTCAGATAGAAACTTGCAATTGTCAAAAATATTTTTGAAAACCAAAAATTTTATTAGCAGGATATTTGAAAATCAATGTGAAAACTCTTACAATTTTTTTTTGGAGGGGGGGGGCACAGTATTTTATTCCAAAATAGCCAGTGGCAATTTTTGTTTTTAAATTTTTTTTAATTTGATTACGATACAATGACATCTAACAATTGTTTTCATTCGTGCATAGTTACTTAGTACACGGAAAAAAGTATGTACTATCAAACTTAGAGTGCATATTCAAACAATATGATTGGACGAGAAGTTTTAAGTATGTGCTAAGTAACTAAGAGCTTCCGGCAATCTCCTCGCTATAAATTTCATAGTATATGCCTTTTCATTGACTAGCCGTTACTTGGAAATGGATATATTAAATACATGTACATATATATACAAATCAGATTGTAGATGATTCATGAATTACGAAAGCGGGATATGTCATCCAACACGGAATTTCCAAATTCATCCTATCGAACAAAGTTTAATTACGCACTTCAATATATGTAACACAATTAAGTTCTACTTTATTAGTATAAGTGTTTTGCGGTATCTGTGATAATTATTTAATCCAGCTATGGGTAAGCCATATCTTCATAAATAGTTTGTGAATTTAAGGCATGGTTTAGAATACATGTGTGCTACAAAACATGGACAATCCGCTTTACAGAGAAAGTATTGATTCTGAAGAAAACGATGGAAATAACACTGTAGAATCAATGACTGTGTTCGACCGTGTGTTTAAAAAGGAAACATTTTGGACAAAATACCGTTCATTTCTGTGCGCTGTTGGTGGATTGTTAGTTGGTTGTTTTGTTACTGTTGGATTTTGTTATCTCTTCTTTAATTTAGGAAAAAAACAAAACGACGGAAATGTTCAGTCACGCGGTAACTATTTTATTACCTTAAATAGAACATATATTAATCTAATCACACATAAAAAAAAACTTCATTATTAAGCAAATTAAGTTAAATTTGGATAATAAAATCGAAATATTTTTTCATACACTGCATGAAAAAATACTATCGAAGGTTTATTATTGAAATTTATTATATACTTAGTAGTAAATGCATGTAAATTGTATATGTAATACGATCAATGTTAATCGTGGTGCATCAGCCATCCGTGATGATATCGATATCAGTCACGGATGCAAAGGCTTTATCACACCCTAAATTTGTATGACGTCACGTCATCGACATCAGTCACCGTTGCAAAGACTTTATCAAACCCCTAATCTGTATGACGTCACGTCACATGAAACAAAACATCTACTTGAGATATGTAATAAAGTGTATATGATATGGCTTTTTCAATTTCACACACCGTATCAACCCTCAACCAATATTATCCCTCGAGCAGAGCTATTTGGGATTATATTGGTGTCTAGGGTTGATACAGATGTGATATTGAAAAAGCCATATAATATTCTCTATATATCCGGATCAGCACTTGTAGTCAAAGTGAGAAAGCGGTATGTTGAGTCAATTGTAGATTGTTACAGCTGTTCTATGCAGTTTAGTTTCACACGAAACACTGAATGAATAGACAAAAGCAGCTCTACCATTCTTTATGGTATATTTAGTCGCTCTTAATGGTAAATATTTTTTCCGACGAATCTTTTAAATGATACATATTTGTGAAAAAGTAGTTATATATTTGCTAACCCTGTTAATTAATTTCGATTTTTCCCATGATTTTAAAACGAGACATACATCTAAATATATATAGTCTGCTTGTCAAAACAGCGGTAATTGTAAGTTTAAAGTTTGAGATTCCTAACACAACTTCAACCGCGCCACCTGATCATGTGCATGAACTAAACAAAGAACCTCGTTATTAGTTGGTTTATGTCGTATCTTCATGATTTTTATACTTTGGAGAATTTGGTGTTAATTGTAGATCTTGGATAAATTTTATTAAATATAATTAAATTTTTTTAGGTCCATTTTATGCTTGAAAACCTTCTGATGATGACTGTATGACCTTTGTTGTTATAAATGAATAACGATACGCTTGCAGCTAGTTGCTTGTAAATTGAATTTATTTCGAACAAAAACATAACTGTAAATAAACTACATGTTTATCAACAGCATGTCAATTTTATGTAAAATAAATAACTTCACAGCTGTCATGTAAATCTGGTTTGGTGTTTATTATAAATTTTAAATTTGATTTGCTATATTGTGGTTTTTGTATGTTTAAATATAACAAAATGTCACAATGAAAATTATAATAATAATTTAAAATGATCTAGATTGAAATTGGGCTCCGTTCACAATATTAAAATAAAATAGTTTTGATTTTTAAATGATTACACATGGTTAGAAAATTCCCGACTTTGAATTCTGAGGTTTATTGAGTCTTATTGTTAATTTTTCTACTATAATGGTGACGTAAATATCACGTTACTGAAAACACTCGAATAAAACAGTCGACTTATAACAAAAATTCTATTTTTCAATAGTTGGTGGTTTTAAAGAGGAAGAAAATCGAATTTTCAGAGTTATTGAAGAAGTGAACAGGACAAAAAAAGGTAATGTAGACATCAAATAAGATAAAATACAATTTACTTTAACCATAACTTTAAGACATTTGATAGAAAATATGAATTTTAAATTTTAAAAAGTGATAGCATTAGTGGTTACCACTTTTCTGCACCAGATGCGCATTCTGACAATAAATGTCTCTTCATTAATGCGCGAGTCTAAAATATTTACAAATCAAAAAAGTATTAAAAAAAAGAAATGCTTATCAACCTAAGAGGGCAAAAAGTGTAACCAAAGCGAATCGCATAACTTCCAGGTGGATTGATTTGTATGTCAAACAGAATTCGATTTGCCCCCTTTTCTATTTCATTGCTTAATCGACTACCAACGTTTTCCGTCACTGTAACGATAAGAGGACAGTTTTAAGCTTTTCTACCACATCTCCACATCTGTATCCATGGTTTAAAATAAAATTGTTTTAGCGTTTATGATGGAGGTTACTCATCAAAACCACTTCTGACGCATGACATTTCTAGTGTTATTTTCATCTGTATACAGCGATGATGCCAAATAGCACTTTCTCATTAATTCTGATATCATATGTATACATAAACATAATACATAAATGTGTTCTGGTTGTTGCGGCTGTGTTTGTGCGTAGTACATTTAGTTGAAATTGATATACGTTCACGATTTACTTTTCTTTCTAGATTTTATGGTTATTCACGATATGAGAAAAGAATTGACTAACTATCTGACGGATATTAGAAACACTTCTCGTAAAGGTATTTTTATATATTCATATCCAGGTTTGTTATATTGATTCACTTATAGGGTCTTTGCATCGGCACTAAACACATTTATTTAAAAACCAGTTGTTGGCATGACACGGGTTATGTTCTTCTAATATATGTTATGATGGTATGATACTAAACCCCTAACGGGAAGGATTGTGCCTGATATTCATATGATGAAGACATAATCTTTCAATCAGTTTAATTGAAGTCTGGAGCTGGCATGTCAGTTAACTGCTAGTAGTCTGTTGTTATTTATGTATTATTGTCATTTTGTTTATTTTCTTTTGTTACATCTTCTGACATCAGACTCGGACTTCTCTTGAACTGAATTTTAATGTGCGTATTATTATGCGTTTACTTTTCTACATTGGCTAGAGGTATAGGGGGAGGGTTGATATCTCATAAACATGTTTAACCCCGCTGCATTTTTGCGCCTGTCCCAAGTCAGGAGCCTCTAGCCTTTGTTAGTCTTGTATTATTTTTAATTTTAGTTTCTTGTGTACAATTTGGAGTTTAGTATTGCGTTCATTATCACTGAACTAGTATATATATTTGTTTAGGGGCTAGCTGAAGGACGCCTCCGGGTGCGGGAATTTCTCGCTGCATTGAAGACCTGTTGATGACCTTCTGCTGTTGTCTGTTCTATGGTCGGGTTGTTGTCTCTTTGACACATTCCCCATTTCCATTCTCAATTTTATTGTATTTGTTTTTGATAGCCACAAACCCTTTGGAAAACTGATGGGTGAAATCAATTGCTCCGCAAAATAAAGCATTTGATATCACATTTGCGAACCATCGAATAGGACAGGATCTGTCGATAACACATAATTACACGTCCACACGACTATGCGACTGAAGAAATTTTGTTTGCAGAAACACAGGTTCTGAAATACAAGTCAGCTGCATTTTATTTTCAACTAGTTCAGGCCAGAAATTGGGTAATATAATATTTGCGGATCTAAATACTAGACATGTATGAGCTGGAGAGAGATTGGTGGTCTCCATTTTTTTTTTTTTTTTTATTGTTTCTGCCCATAATTCTTGCAATCCTTATAACTTTGCTTCTCAATGTTCTCTGTTCTTTCTTGTTTTTTTTCTCTCATTTTAATTATTTAGCCCGGTCACTCAACCTAGACTATCGTACATGTATTAACCAAACGCATTGAATTTCCAGATACATTTTACATGGTATACACGATAGACAGCATTTGATATTGTTCAATTTTGTAAATTTCTATCATAAATAAATGACTACGTGGAGGTCAACGCCACTTCGACAGCAACATAATGACAAACATAACCAATGAACATCCTGAGGTCAGCACATAGTTTTCCAAATAGGTCTTCACAATATTTGAAGATTGCAACATACATTGAAAACAATTTATAATGTCAAAGATCTACAGGTAACCACAATGTCTTGAAATATTTCATGATGCTGTTTTTAATTCTTTACTTGAAGAGATTTTGATACTGGAGACGTCTTTTAATGCCACTATGCAGCTACTTAATGATATACGTCAGAAAAGTGAACAAGGTAAGCCTACATTGTGTAGTCAATAGTTTAAGTCGTTATAGTCACAACTTATATTTGATCGATTATATGGACCCCTTTTTTAACTCAATTTATAGGTTTTAACATACTGTACAAACTGTCTGTACCTATTGATTAATAAATAATTATTATATTATTTCAAATCAAGATGGAACATATACAGTATGTTACTAGTAGTCAATTATACATGCTAGTCTGGAGGGGAAAAAACCTTTTAGACAAAGTACTTGCAATATGTAGTTTATTGATATTTGTCGAACAAAGGGCATTTTTATCAAAGCTATTGATTGTTTGATTTATTTTATTTTCAGAGCTTTCAACAATGATAGAAACAAGAAAACAAATGTCGGAATTGAATACAGAACTCCGTAATAGAAGTTACGCTGGTATGTAGGAAGAAAATGTATGGCAGTTTCATGACAGGTGAAAAAATGATAAATGAACTAAATATGGAACATATATCCACAGATATGAAAAATGAAAAAGAAATTACTCTAATTACTTGCAATGTGTATTTATTGGATGATTTGATTAAAGGGAATATTTATTAACAATTAATTGATAGATTGATTTATTTTTTAGCGCATTTAAACATGATAGAATCAAGACACCAAATGTCGGAATTTCGTACAGAAATGCGAAACAGGAGTTTAAATGGTATGTAGAACGAATACGCATAACATATTCATGACAGGTGAAAAAAGAAGTATTTTTTATAATATAAATGTTTTTAAATATCATCTTTATTCATGTTTATTACTTTCAATGAGTGTAAATCTCGATGTGGTGAAACTGTAGTATATGAGTTAAATAAAACAGATTCGAATATATTATAAGATTTTTGGTATATTTTTATATGAAGGAAACCGTGCAGTCAAACACTCTATACCATTGAAATAAAAAACAGCCTGCGTCGGTGAAAATTGATTAAATATTTCAAATTAAAATGACGCTTCTATAATATAGATAACAATAGTGACAGCAACAAAAACAAAGTTACACAATCTATGAACATTACTTGTTAAATAATTGCCATGTTGCATCTATTTTATTGCATCAAATCACCGTTAGAACGTATACAATATAAAACCTTCAACATCAATTACTTTCAATACTTAGTTTTTCGATAACTTATCAAACATAAGGCATTTCCATGAAGACAAGTAATTGATTGGTTGATTTAAGGGTTTTTTTTTTGTTCCACCTGAACAGTGACAGCAAAAGAAACAAGTAAACAAAAACGATGATTATAACCGTTTAGATAAGTGACAGTTTTCCATTACAATTATCTAATACAATATAATTTACAGTTCACAGGAAAATCAGACCTTAAACATACGTTTGTCAAATCTACTATCAACTACAACACCTTTTAATGTTGGCGTCTATGTTAGATTGATTTGTATATTTGTTTTTTAACCAGTTGTGTTGTATGTCTATGATACATGTTAACAAAACTATGGCTTCTGGATTCCAATTATTGTCACAATAATCTATTGTGTCTGTTTGGTTGCTCACCTAGTTTAGTCAATTTAACGGAACTATAAAAAAATTTTCTCAGTTTTTATGGACTTCCCCTGTTGAAATTTACCTTGGAGTTCGGTATTTTTGTTATACTTTTTTTTATTTACAAAAAGAAATTAAAGAAATTATATATGTCAGTTGTAGCATTGAACTGGCAAACATAAATTGATTGCATTTTTTTATTTGATATTTTATCTTTAATTCAAACTCGTATATGGTTTCAATTTTTCAAAAATATGGTAGTTTGTTTCATGACGTAATTTGAAAAAAAACAAACTTGCAGGACATCAAACGGACCATACCGATAAAGCAAATCAATGTTTATAAGATTGTCCTTTTTTATTTAAACTTAATATATAGTTAATTGAAAGAAAAATGTCATCATTGTTTTTTTTCTTCTATTGCGTATTATATTTAAACAATTTAAGTAATAATTCTAGATTTGCAAATACTTATTTTACAAACATTTCTTTTACAGCAGAAAGAGTCATACAACAGTGGATAAATGAAAGTCAGAAACACCACCAAGAGTTTCAGAGGAAAAGTCAAAAAGGTATTTATAATATCGAACTGACAGTTTATGTAAAAAGGGATTTTACCACGTGTCACGTTGATAAAGATATTTCTTCATTATAGAGATAGCTAACTGTTCAAATTAAAATTATGAGGTTTACCGAGCATGTTTGAATTTAACAATTAATGTATAAGGTCAGGATAGAGGGGGTGGACAGCTTTTGAGGGAGGTGGGAGAAGGGTACCCCCTGTCCACCTCCTCAGGATACAAAATAAATGTATTGAGGTTAACAACCATTACAAAAAAAAAGAATATGTTTACTAGGTCAGGCCCTGAATCGCCGAAGTCTGAACAATAAGACAACATCAAAGATCTGCAAACAGAACTAAATCCTCCAAATGATCAAAACATTCAGATATGACAAAGACAATTACTGCGAAGTTTAATTCTCCTGGAACAAGCACATGACCATGTGGTGGGGAGGAGCTTCATATTTGATGTTTACCTTTTTCTAACCTTATGTTTTAAATTTCCTTCACCTTTCTCATTTGCGTGAGGCGATTTGTATGATTGCCGAGAAAAATATCAGAAGTAGTTGTTATTAATCAAACATGATGGTTATCTGAATAAGCAGTATTTTTATACGTTTTTTTTTCGACAACATAAAGATAAACAATGTACACGTAATTACCTTTTAGTATATATGGAAATGAAACATTTTTGTTGGTATTTAAGGTTTTATATGTTAAGTATCAGTTGAATCTGTTTAATGTCATCTCTGTATTCTTCTTATCTATATTTTCAGATCTCATGTCCTTTCAGAACATGAGATACGATATATTGAAAGTCTTAGCAGCTACAGACATGTGTTTTCGAAACGAAACTTTCAACATGACAGGTAAACACTGTGTATTTGCTCCTTGTTGAATGCCTGATTGTGACTTTTACGTAGGTGAAAAAAGAAGCTACAAACAACTTTGGGTCATCACTTTTTTCATGTTCTTGTGTGACATTGTGTCATAAAATGATACGTCATATCTTGGTAAAAATCTGGTTGATTAAAATTAATGTGTAAGCATGGTAGCATAAAAACTGTAACAGACAATGCATGACAAGCAAACTGCATGAATTTCAATAACAATTAGAATTAAAAACAATAGATTTAAAGTGGACCAAAATTTCAGACGAATTTGGCATCTGCCAAAACAAAGAAGAGTTCTAGAATCACTACCCTTTGGCAATTTCGTTTTTAATGCTCTTAACTTCGTATATGGTTTGGTCTTCCAATGTTTTAATTTGACCTCCTTTAATGAGTCTTATTTAGCCAAAACGCTCGCCCGGTATTCAACATTATAAGACTGATATCATGGATGAGTTTTAAGAGAAATGTTTTTATGTTGACATGGATTGTATAGTTAGAGTTCGGGCTGCTAAGTCTTAGGTTTTTGATGTTATGTTTTGTATACTGTTTCTCCTGTGTCCCTTTTCGTTTTTTGCCATGGCTTTATCAGTTTTTTTCAACTTGTGAGTTTTAATATTTTTTTTGTATCTTCCTCCTCTATTTTATATTCTATAATTCTTAATACGTGTTTATCGGTAAAATAATGAATTTTGGTATTAAGTCGTGTTTACGATTTCATAAAAACAATCAAATTATTGTCTGCATAACTCTTTGTTCATTATTTCAATTGTAAATTGTATAACTTTTATGTTATAATAGAAATACAAAGGATATGAGGTATCCATCCATGACACAAAATCAGTGCGTGCACTTATGCTGATTATATTATTTATATAGAAGTAAAAGCAGACACAAATGATTTGACCATTAATGTTTTGTGACTAGACCTTTACAATTTTCTAAATTTTTTTTATCATTATTGAAGACCAGACGCGACAGTTATTTTTTTAAACTTCGGGCAAACATATATTTTCCCACATGATTTAAAAACAAACATCACAAAACATAATATCCTCAACACTTGATTTAACAGAACCAACACAACCTACAGATATAAGTGGCACAATGCGGGATTGTTTAGCGTGGAAACAGAATGGTAGTCTGACGAATGGGGTATATAGTATTAGTCCTGATAATACAACGATACTAGAGGTATACTGTGATATGACGACAGACGGAGGAGGCTGGACTGTAAGTATAACCATGAACAGAGAAAAAATTTTCCCACGAATAGTTGTCTGACAGAAATGTTTTAGACAAACATTCACGGTTGTGATAGTTAAACTAACAGGTTTTCAGTCAGATAAAGTCTGATGATCCTAAAAGAAGGTTTAAATAACTGGAGGTAGAAAAATGGTTTTTGCTCTAGTTTTTAAATTTGCATATTGATTATTTTTATCATGTTTTTGTTGTTTTTTTGTTGTTTTTTTGTTGGTCATTCTTCACTCCTTCTATTTCAAAATTTTACATTGAGTTAGTTCTAGGGTTAAAAAATTATCTTGACCCATAGTTTTTATTCGGTGTCTTAGAATTAGACAAGAGAGACATCAACCAATCAGCTACTGTATCTAATCACCAGATGCAATGTGTTACAATATGAAATGACAAAGAACTTATACGCCGGTTTTTCGAAGATGAGCTGAGATGCTGGCCTTCCAAGAACATATGAATCTACGCTCGTCTTTGGTAGGGTTCTTATTGTTCAATCTTGATTTTTCTGTGTATTTTGGTGAGGACTGTTTAAACACTTTGTCATTTCGTCATATTTGTATACGCCCGTTTAAGGAACGTATTATGGTATACCACTGTCCGTCCGTCTGTCCGACTTTCTGTCCGTCTGTCCGTCCGTCTGTCCTTCCGTCGTCATTATGTCGGAAACTTTGGTGAATTGTTTATTTCTATTGACGGGAAATTTTTCGTGACTTTTGATTTTTATAAATTTTGGATTTTACGTTTAAGCTAAGGGGTTTTATTCATTAAAAAGGGGGATTTTCCAGTTTTCCAACAATTACTCAAATATGCTTTGAGCAGTTTTCATGAAACTTTGGTGAATTGTTTATATCTATTGATGTGAGCTCCCTTTCGATTTTTATAAAGTTAGGATTTTACGTTTCTGAGTAATGGGGTTTTATTCTTTAAAAAAGGGGGATTTTCCAGTTTTTTGACAACAAATCAAAAGTTCTTTTAGCAGTTTTCATGAAACTTTGGTGAATGGTTCATATCTATTAAAATAACCTCCCTTTCCCTTTTTATAAATTTCTGATATGACAGTGAGGAGTTATTGAACTTTATTCTTTGAAAAAGCGACGGGCGTATCATGCGCTCATGGCGCAGCTTGTTATTGATATTATCTCGGGATTTTTTTGTGGAATTTATGGTTTTTGATTGCCTTCGTATCTTCTTTCTCTCTCTTAGGATCGCTAACATTTATTATAATTTATTGTGTTACGGAATATATAAAGATTATACCACTTCATTGAGTTAGATGCAATATTCCACATCCGAAACTATCCGAGTGTTTTAAAGATTTAAAAGTTTACCTTTTTTGCAATACTAATTTTAGTATATACATGTGCATTGTATATTGCTAAATTTTGTCTGTTTTCAATGTACTGCAAAAAGATAGGTGTTTGCTATGTGACGTCATAATGCATGGTTGCCTTTTTCGTGACGTCACAATAACGAATTCAGATTAAAACAAGAACATTTGACGTAACAATTGAATTTTGACTAAATGAATAATTGAGATGAACAATTGTGTGGATTTAAAACATTTTAAGCCGGTTGGAAATGCATAAATCGGTTACAAATAACAGAAAAACACATTTCTAAATGGTGATGCATCTAACTTTATTCAAGTTTATGCTTAAATCATGACAATAACACATTCTAACATCGAAAGTAAAAAGAGCAAACATGCTGCTAGGTGATGTTTTGTTAAGTTGAGACTTTACCCATTTGTAGAAATGCATTTTGAATTGTAACAAGACATAACTTTATATCTTCTTTGTATCTGTCAGCATTGTCACTAGTTTCAATTTATTGAAAAACCCTGAGCATGTGCAACGTTTACGTGGTGTATTGCTGGTACTGGTGATCCGAGAATTTAATTTTACGAAGGAATGTATTTAATTCCATTGTTGTCTAATCTATACCATATTATATTTACAGAAAAATGTTTAATTGATTGTGTTTGTATTAGTGTATGATTTGTAGTTTAAAGTAAACTATATTATAAAGTATGAAAACGACTCATTTTTATCATTGAAACGAAAAAGTAAAAACAAAAGCAATATTTATCTGCTATGTATTTTGTTACTACGTGACATCATGGGTATACATAACATACCACTAAACCATACTTCACTTTAACAACACTTAAGATTACTATCATCAACTCAGTTACTTATGAATGACTCTATACGATCACGGGTTTTCCAATTAACAATTATCCACACGTATAATGTACTTGAACTAGATGTTACTGACATGTAAAGTTTATGAATTAATGACAACAATCGGTACTTGTATTGTGAAATCTAGATAATTTGATGACTTCAAAGTGTGTATTTGTGCCCTGTTGTGGATACAATTTCTATCGATATACTTTATAGAAAAACACAAATATTACTGCATTCTAAACAATAAAAACATGTAAACCACCAGTTGTCCTTCTCTATTCGTACATATAGGTGTTCCAGAGGCGATATGATGGAAACGAAAATTTCCTCAGGGGCTGGCATTCGTATGAAGATGGTTTTGGAGACATTAACGGAGAATTTTGGATAGGTTATATTATACTGATTACTACCTAATTTTTTAAAGAAAAGTGCCTTGTAAATATCAAAAGATTCAGCTCCACATTTTTACGCTACATATCTTACAAGTCATATTTTGTTTCAAAATAGAATAACATCCATATTTAATTACATAACACAAAGATCATTTTGTTTTACCAGATAATGATTTATAAGCAATTAGGACAAGAATATAGTTTAGAAGATCCTTTACCATACTTATAGTAATATATTTAACAACTGATTTTAAAGAGGAATATTTATACTAACAATTGATAAAGAACATTGGATACTAAGCATACTAAATGCATCTATATATTATAACATATTTTAAAATTAAAAAAAACTTGTAATGTATTAATATTATTCCTGACATATTTTACATAATATATAATTCATATGAATAAAAAAAGGTAAAAATATTACTCAATGAGACAGCAGCCTTACGACAAGAAATAACCAAAAGACATCTATTGGTTTAGTATCACGCATCCCACAGAAATCTGATTTCCAAGCAATAAGTGGAGCTTTGACCTGTACTGAATCGAAAACAAAACCTTAAATACATTGCACACATTTATCAAGTCAACATAAAAAAGAAGGAAATGTTCACTTTGACAGCGTTTTTGTTATTCGACTGTCACTGATGAGTCTTTTGTAGACGAAATACGCTATTGGCGTACAAAATGTTAACTTGTATCTATAATGAGTTTATTTACGACCGCTGGATAGGTGCCACTGCTGGTTGATGTTTCCTCCGCGAGGGTATCGCCGGCCCAGTAGTCAGCTCTTCTTTATTAACATGAAGTATCATTGATATGGTAATAATTATAAAATTACTGTTCAGAAAACTTTGAATTTCTCGAAATACTTAGGAATATTTTACCCCAAAAAATACTGACTTAGCTGTATTCGGCAAAACCTTTCGGAATTTTGGGTCCTCAATGCCCTTCAAACTTCGTACTTTGTTTGACCCTTTTCATTTTTTTTATTCGTGCGTCACTTATGAGACAAAACGTGCGTCTTCTGTTCAAAACTTGAATCCTGTTATCTATGATGAGTTTATCTACAACCACTGGGTCGATAAAACTGCTAGCGTACGTTTCTACCCGAGAGTATAATCAGTCCAGTAGTGAGCTTTTATTTGTTAACATAAATTATCATTGATTTGGTCATAATTATAAAATAACTCTTTACAAAACTTTGAATTTCTCAAAATAATAAGGATTTTCTACTCAAGGAATATATTGCCGTAGCTGTATTTGGCCAAACCTTTCGGAATTTTGGGTCCATAAAAGAGAGGCGAAAGATACCAAAGGGACATTCAAACTCAAAACAAAACATAGAAAACTAAGGTCTGAGCAACACGAACCCCACCAAAAAATTAGGTTGATCTCAGGTGCTCCGGATGGGTAAGTAGATCCTGCTCCACTATTAGGTCCGAGGATACAGTTATCGTCCTTTGATTTTCGTTGTCTACATATATAGTCCCTAGTGTTGACAGTATATGACTGGCCATTTTTTTTCATACATTTTCCAAATTTATTTCTTTATATTTTATGCATGAAATATTAAGTATGGGAATGTAATAAAATGTTCAAAAATTTGGGTGATGAATTCTTATGTAAAGTAGCGATTTGGTCCAGTTAAAAAAGGTCAAACTTTAGTATGTCTGAAGCTGTCAAACTGGATTATAGACCACCTTAACATAGAATTGTCCATATTTTGAGTTAGAGCTGGTAGACTTTTCTATAATTTTGATATTATTTGTCCCAAAAGTAGTTCACTACACTGTAAAAATCGTTTTGAGATAGAGCAAGTGCAATTTTTTAATTTGAATTTATTGTCTAAAAGAAATGCACTACGAAATGACTGTGTTCTCGGGCAACATGTGGTACCCGTCAATGCTCTTGAACTTCGTACTTTATTTGAACTTCTCAACTTATTAGAGCGTCACTGATGATTGTTTTAGACGAAACGCACGTCTTGCGAACAAAATGTCAATCCTGGTATCAATAACTAGTTTATTTACAAACATAGAAAAATATAGAATGTATTTACATTTCTTCGCATATTTCAGGAAATAAATACCTACATATCTTAACAAAAGTACCAACAGAGCTACGTATTGACTTAATGGCTTGGGATAACGAAAAGAGATATGCAAAGTACTCCACGTTCGTTATTGGTGATGCTGAATCAAAGTATACGCTATCTGTTGATAGATTCAGTGGAGATTCTGGTAACTACTTTTAGGGAACTCTGTAATTTTTTCTATTTTAATTGTTTAGAGTTAATAGTCAATTTGTTGTTGTGTATTTCTTGTCCACGACTCTGATCTTCTTGAGAGATATGGTTCGAAATTTCAGTGTCACTGATGATTCTTTTGTAGACGAAACGCGCGTCTTGCATACAATATTATAGTCTGGTATATATCATGAGCTTTTCTTACAACCACCGAGTTGATGCCACTGCGGGTGGAGGTTTCCAGCCCAGTTGTCAGCATTTCTTTGTTGACATGAATTATCATTATCATTTTCATATGGTTATAAATAAAAAGTTAACAAAACTTTGAAGTGTTCGATACCATAAGTAATTTTTACTCCAGGAATATATACTTTAGCTGTATTTGCAAAATCTTTCGGAATTTTTCGTCCTTAAAGCCCTTCAAGTGCGTACTTCTTTTAGACTTTTAACTTTTATTTATTCACGCGTCACTGATGAGTTTTTTGTAGACGAAACGCAATGCTGTCGTGCAAAATAATACATTGATTTAACGCATCAACGCATGAACTATAAATACTGATCAATACTTTTAATAGTACCTTTAGATGTGTAGTCAGCAAGTAAAGGAGGGGTAAAAACTCCAGAATGAATGCATCATCAAATTACCTGAAATAAAATTGCATAAGCAATTACTTGATTGTGTTTTACACTTTTCAATGAAATAATTTTTTATCTGATGGATTGAATATATGCATTCGCAAACCTGTTTAAGATGTTATTAAAAATAGGAGTAATTTAAGTTAATCATTTAAAGGGGCAACATTGCTCATATGATGCGATAAATTTGTATTTACTTCTATATCTTTGCCAACTTGATTACCATGATAGAGATTCTGTGTTCAATCCTCTCTGACAAGGATCTGCGATCGCTCCGCTTTACATTTTAAAGGTCTCTTCGGTATGTTCGGGTTTTGTCGTAATGATATACACTTTCATGACTTAAAAGGCAGGCAATTTTTTAGTCGATGCAATAATCATCCAAACAGTAATAAAAATGAAGCGTTGTCAGATTCACGCGAACGTAGTCTGGGTACAAGTTGTGTATTTCAATTAAATTTATAAATGTTCTTTCAGGTGATGGTTTAGATTATCATCATGGACTGAAGTTCAGTACTTTTGATCAGGATAATACAAAAACAGGCACAAAATGCGCTGCCAGAAACAAGGGAGCATGGTGGTACAATAATTGTAGCTACTCCTCGTTGAACGGAGAATACCTTAAAACCAACGGCAGAGCTGATCAAAATATGGGAATCAACTGGGAAAAATTTAAAGGAGATCATTACTCATTAAAATCGGCCTCCATGATGCTTCGTAGGAAAACATAAAAACCAATGGTTGAAATTATGATTCTGTACTCATGTATAACATGTGTTCAATTAAACTTATTACGTGTGTTTAACATTCCAAAGTTCTATTGTCCTGCTAAAATGTGATTATAGTTTTTATATTGTTTTTCATCGTTTTATTATTTCATTTGTTCATTTCTTCATTTCTGTGTATGAAAGATAAGTATAAAGAAGTAGTCAAAGAAATGCATAACCTTGTGCAACGCAAAATAAATAAATATCAATACGTATAGGCTTTCTAGAATCTCACTTTCAAAAATCAGAATCTGATCTAAAATTACAATTAGATACAAATTATTTCCCTCGTTGGGCAGTATACTAGTAAAAATACTGGTTTGCTGCAGTGCAAAGCAACGTCGAGAAGTAAAATTTAAAAAAATGCTTTACTTTAGTTTATAAACATTTCAGCTTTATAATCGAGTTTGATAACGAGTATGCTGGATGACAAAATACAATTGATAGTTTTTATATTTATATAAACTAAATAATATCCTTAAATCCACACGGATTAAAAACCGCTAATCGTTGACTGTTCATTGATCTTTATTGGCGCGAGCAGTTCTGCTTTCCGCAAAAGAATATAACCATTATCACATTATAGTTTTAGAGTAAAATTTGTGATTCCGGAAATGAGTTCCTTTAAAAAGGGCTATAAATCTAAACTTAACAGACTTTTTTAAACATTTGCAAACTAACGTTACAACTTTAAAAAAATAGTGTTTCTTTCATATCGATTTCATCTCTTTATGCTAATTTTACATGCAGAGTAACATATTTAAGTAATTTGATGTTATAAAACCGTGAAACCGTTTTGAAAATTAAGATGTGATTTTATTGATAATTTGTATAAAATAATTGTGATTTTATATTGTTTTTATATTCTTTTTAATATAGCATTGCTTGCAGTTCGGTATTTTTGTTAAAACATTTTCCCCGACATTATATGTATACGTTTAGAACTGTGACAACTTTACAAAAAAAAGTAAAATAACAAAAATACCGAACTCAAAGGAAAATTCAAATCGGAAAGTCCTTTATCAAATGGCAAAATCAAAAGCTAAAACACATCAAACGAATGGAAAACAACTGTCATATTCCTGACTTGGTACAGACATATCCTTATGTAGAAAATGGTGGATTAAACCTGGTTTTATAGCTAGCTATACCTCTCACTTGTATGACAGTCGCATAAAATTCAGAGTACAAAAATAAGTCGTCCAGAAGTAGTGCACAATAAGTACCCTTTGGAATACCGACTGTCTGCTGAAATATCATTCTACTAAAACGAATAAATATAGTGTCGATCAAAATGTCCAGCATTTTAATGATTTCATATTCGTTGTTTTAGTTGTGGGAATCAGTGTTGTTCTTCACAAAGTAATATTTTTCATTTCCTAAAGCAAGGAATTTGTTTCAACTGTTTTTATTTTTGTAAAAAAAGCTCTGTTTAATGAAAGACTGTGGTCGATCTTTCAATTTAGATATGCAGAAAAGTAGTGTTAATCGTAGAAAAATCAAAGGTTTTAATATTAGTGTAAAATTGTCAAAAATTATAATACCACTGTCACGGGTTAGCTGAGAGGTTAATCTACAAAACACTAAATTATTTATGTAAATGTCCTTAAACAGAGGGTTTGTATTCTAGTGGGGTTCGTTGCAATGATTTTGGTGTCTTACATTATAGTTACGTGTTTACTGTTGCGATATAAATCATTCTGTTATTTTTCTTCTGTGATTTTTTTCATAGTGTTAACATCCTATGAAATTTAATAATTTATTTTACGGTTGTCTATTGTCGAAGGTCGTACGGTGACTCTTTCTCTGTTAGTCTTTCTTGAATAATGTCTCATTGTCAAAAGTACCGCGAGTCCTTATTTTAATGCAGAAATCTATACCCACAACAGCTACTTCTATCTGTTAATACGATCTGGAACTTTTATCAATTTTTTTTCCAGTCTTCCCTTAAGGTATCATTCCAGTAAATGTTTTTATCAATCACATAAACTTGCAGTTGAAATTATCGTGATTGAAGTCCGACTATCTTCAGTGTTGGTTCACAGGGAGATATGGCTTCTTCAAATTACATGTATAAACCCTCCTGTCTCAATTTTGATGCGATTATGAAATGGCTCCAAAGACAAAACATTCTTGATTGTTTGTGATATTTGAACTTTGTTGGATTATTTTGTTGTGTCATAACTAAAGCAAATTGGTTAATGATGGAGATTTTAGCAGCTTTTAAGCGTGTGTCATAACACAGGTCAGTCGAAATGTTTACGCTTTAGTCAGAACTTTCATAATCTACAGATTATTTCGTTCGCTGGCAGTAATCGGAGATGACTCAGAAAAGATTTTGAACAGTTTTTGATGTTAAAAGCTGATTTCCGATTTAGTCATGCTACTTCTAGATGGGTGGTTTGTTTAAACTAACGAATACTTTTATTTTCGTTTTTATCATTATACATATATTATCAAAATTTTGTTTTGATGATCTGGTACTTGAGTCTATAACCCTTTTTCTGCAAGTGGTTCTGAAATAAATCACTCGTGTTGGCTTGCTTCTGCATTTCAAGAGAGGCGAAAGATACCAAAGGGACATTCAAACTCATATGTCGAAAATAAACTGACAACGCCTTTGCTAAAAAAGAAAAAGACAAACAGACAAACAACAGTACACCAAACACAACATAGAAAACTAAAGACTGAGCAACACGAACCCCATCAAAAACTGGGGATGATCACCGGTGCTCCAGAAGGGTAAGCAGATCCTGCTCAACGTGTGGCTCCCGTCGTGTTGTTCATGTTGGTACAAACCCGGTAATAAGTCTAATTTGTTAGGTCACATTCGGGGAAAAGGGGATGGGATTGTACATGTAGTTACGACATTTGGAACATACCCGCTATCATCTGTGAAACGGATATTCCATAACGGTCAATCAACTCATGGTGGCGTCCGTAAAATTTACTGAATACTAATGATTTCAACTTCACCACTTGAAACTCTTGGTTTAATAGCTTCCTTGTGAGCAGCAACCCTCTATCAAGGAAATCGTGATAGGAAATACAAGCCCTGGAATATCGTATCAACTGGGAGATACCTACACCGTATGCAGGTGCTGCTGGAATGTTTTCACATAGAAATGGAAAGTTCACAATTGGCAAGCTGAAATCATCTCTTTTGTCGTAAAGTTTTGCTCTGGTATTGGTTGAAGGACATCGATGTGTCTTGTGTATTCGTAACGCGCGTTGAGCAATTCTTAAATGTTACAGAAAAATTGAAACAGGTATTCCCTTTCCTCAAAATTTAATCAAGGCACGGTCTTCAAATAGAGTCCCTAGTGCGGACAGTGTATAACTTGCGCACATTTTGTTCATACACCTTCAAGATTTATTTCTTTATATTTTATGCATAAAAGGTAGATATGGAGGTCAAATAACATGTATAAACAATTTGGAGTACTTTTTGCATGTAGGTAAAGTAATGATCTGGTCCAGTTTGAAAAGGTCATAATTTAGTATGTCTAGATCTGAAGTTGTCAAGCTGTATTATACATAAAATTGTCCTTAATTTGAATGACAGTCTGTAGACTTTGTATAATTTTGATATAATTTGTCCCAATTTTAATACACTACACTGTGAAAATATTTTTTGGATAGAGCAGGTGCGATTTTTTTAAATTTGCGTTTTCTGTCTTAAATAAATGCACTACGATATATCTGTTTTCTCGGACCAGTCTTTGTCATATGTCTGTTTTGTTTTACCAACGTCATTCTGTCGGGCTGTTCAATATATTTTTCATAAGAATTCTTCGACTGCTTTATAAATTGTTTAATTCCGTTATTGTAATCCTTTTTCAATGTTATGACTTTCGGCCTCATTTAATTTTTCTCATTACCCTTACTTAATCATGATTTTACGAAATGAAAAGAAAACAAAATACACCACTCCTTCAAGTATATTCACGTGCTCAAAAAAACTCATTCCAAAATTAAACAATCGAAATTCCCCTTCTAAATTTAGCACTTTTTACAATTGTGTCAAAGGTGGCAATGCTGCTGCAGCCAGATTATTAAATAAAAATGCACGTAGATAACCACAAATATTCCAGTGCAATGCCAGAAAATGACTAACCTGCTCTGGGTTATCTTATAATAATACTGTCAGGTCGACAGTGAAGGGGGGAGCTTTTTCGCTTTCCTTTTCTTGTGACATTACATGAAAAACTCAAAGCCTCATTTATCTGGTTACTTGAACAAAGCCAAAGTGTGGTATACAATATGTAGGTCAAACAGGATTGGAATTTTATAGACGAACACAGGAACATCTATACCGCTTCCGAATACCTAAGAAATTCAAAAGTATAATTTACCAACATTTAGGTAAACACAATCACAATATTAAATGTATAAGATTCCAACCACTCGAAACGATCCAGAAACAACAAGGGCAATCGGATAAACAATTTGAAGATTCCGGTAAAATTATCGAACTGTCTTGGATTTAGCGACAACAGACAGCATATCCCCTGGGTCTAAACGACAATATACTGGGACAAGGGAAAATATCTAAAACTTCTTCTATTGATATCATGAATATTGTTGATAAAAGAAAACGTAATAATAGGTCTCATGGCAAACGTATCAATCGAAATCAACGAATTAAACATCTTATGAATTATACACTTGATAATCTCCTATCTATGTTTAAAACAATGGTAGGCATCAATTATTATGTAAAATGGGTCAAATACCAATTAGTAAATTATTTTCCAGGAGTGTGACACAATCTCGTTCTTCAGACCACTCTATGAATATTCGCGTATAATTACAGCTTTTTGCCACCATATAAAAAAGAAGATGTGGTATGATTGCCAATGAAACAACTCTCCACAAGAGACCAAATGACACAGAAATTAACAACTATAGGTCACCGTACGGCCTTCAACAATGAGCAAAGCCCATACCGCACAGTCAGCTATTAAAGGCCCCGAAATTGCAATGTAAAACAATTCAAACGAGAAAACTAACGGCCTAATTTATGTACAAAAAATGAACGAAAAAGCAAATATGTAACACATAAACAAACGACAACCACTGAATAACAGGCTCCTGACTTAGGACAGGCACATACATGCAGAATGTGGCACGGGGTTAAACATTTTAGCGGGATCTCAACCCTCCCCCTAACCTGGGACAGTGGTGTAACAGTACAACATAAGAACGAACTATAAAAATCAATTGAAAGAGGCTTAACTCATCAGATGGATAAAAATACAAATACTACAAATACAAGTGGACGTGGCCGGGTACTTGTACATCCTAACAACAAAAAGACACTGAGTACAGAACTGAGAGTACTCGCAGTTACTGATAGATAGTTCAAAGCCACTTACAACTAATAAAAAAAATCATGCATCTAAGACTAAATTATCAATAGGCTGTTCCCGCGTATCAATAAACCTGAAGAACATAAACGGCACTTTCTGAAAATTAAATATATTAACTATGGTATTGATTTCATTAAGTTATCGAGTATATTTAATGACTTTACCATTCAAAGCTTTATACCTCTCTATTTTGAGAACACAGAACCACCTTTTATTTCGTATACATACAAAAAACCCAGCAGAAGTTTAATTTTTTAATTATACATCAGTAACATCAGACGTCAATGTAGAAAATAATACTCCTCTAACTTGAGACTGTGAATCGTCGAATTTTAGATATGATCCATATGGACATATTATTACGGGGGACCTCAATATCGTTCAAGACCGAGAGGTTAAAACTTTCTGAAAAAAGGACCAAAATATCGCCCTCCATCTAAAATAGATTGGAAACAGTGTCGTGAGGTCACAAAAAACGC